ATGAGATCCACTTTGTCCTCAACAAAGTGGTGTTAGGGACATCATATGTGACCTACACAATAAAAATAACATGAAGTTCCCAAAAAGTTAAATATATATACATGTTAAATGCTTAATAAGAGTAGGTACCAGGATACTCTGCCAAATCTGCGTCTTCAGTGTCTCTGGAACATGGTCCCAATCCTCAATAAGAATACTAACCTTGCTTCTCCCAAGCAAGGTCACATAGCTAGTGAATCTAGCACCGTGCTCTCCTGTGGCTCTACTCGTTTGCATGTCAAACTGGATAGACAATTTCGATCGGAGCTACGACCGATATTCAAGTCCTCAACCGTGTAGCACGCCTACCCTTTTTCCTGGTAGACGGTCGACTCGATCACCACCTTGTGTAGGAGGGGGACTGTGTAGGAGGAGGGGTACCAGATGAATCTGTCATATCTGTGTTCAAAGAAAAAAATAATAGTTATTAATTTAGACAATATGACTGAAGATAAACAAAAAAGTGCATACATTAGAAAATAAAACATTAAAAAAAGTGCATACATTATCAAGTTGGAACATTCTCCCAAAATCCTTCCATATGGTCATAACGTGTGGCATGCACATCATCCATTTCTACATTAACACTCAAGTTTGGCATATTTGAAGAGAAACATGGTGTCTCTAGTATATCAAGTACTAATTCATCATTCTCATGAGAAGTATATATGAGTTTTCCTTGTAGAACCACTGACCATCCTTTGTTAGCGGGATCAGTGACATAAAACACTTGTTTTGCCTGAGATGCCATGATAAATGGTTCTTCGGTATTATCCGGAACATTCATCTTAGCAAATTCAAGGAATTGTTCTACTCCACTCTCATATTCATTTGTTGTTCGTCTATAATTGATTCAACTCCGATCCATTGTTACCTTCTGTCACATAACACAACATATAAGCATAGTTTGAGGATGATAACATCCAACATGTTCTGCTGAAATTGCGATGTCATGTGATTGGATATTTTAATCTTTCAATAGGAAGTTCTGTCCTACAATGGATCATTTCAGGACTGACTCCAATCAAGGCTAACCGTATTGTCTCACATTAGGGTGAGCATAAGCGATGATAGTTTTCACTTAAAATGAAATAACTACATTATAATACAAATCTAATTTTCAAAATCAAAATCACGAAAGAATGCCTACAGAAACACATTCAAATGACTAAACTACTTACAATACGTCTCTAAATTAGCTAAAGGCACCCGTGAACTTCCATCTCTTGACAACATTATTACATACCAGATTCAAAAATGTAAACCTACAATGGCTAAAGCAAGCACGAAAACTTACCTCTTGAAGACCTACAGAGGTGGCAGGTGGCGTGACGTGCAGAGCTGGGTGGGGAGAAACGTACACAGGCGACGGGCACCAACGACAGTAGCAGCAGGCGGCACGACGTACAGAGTTGGCAGGTGGCATGACGAGCAAAGCTGGGTGGAGAGAAATGTACAAAGGCGAAGACGTTCGTAGAAGATACAGAGAGAACGGGGAGCTCTGCTATGAGTGAAGTGAGAAATGGAGTGTCGCGGCAGGTGTAAAACAGAGGATATTATGTCGGTTGTCCTAACACCCGTCATCAAATACACTTTCTATGTCGGGTAAAACTTAACCAACATAGAAAGTTCACTTTCTATGTCGGGTAAAATTTAACCGACATAGAAAGTGAACTTTCCATGTCGGTTAAGTTTTACCCGACATAGAAAGTGAACTTTCCACTTACTATGTCGGTTAAAATTTACCCGACATAGAAAGTTTATGATTTTATTACAAAATTGTCACCGCGCTACATACTATGACGGGTGGACTATGACCGTGATAAAAACTCGTCATAGAATGCTATTTTTCCACTAGTGTATCAACTCATTTATATGATTTTATACCTTTGTCTAGATAGGTTATAAGTTAATTTTAAATAAACAAATGAATAATATATTTTTTTTAATTAAAAAATAATTATATAAATAAAAAAATTAATTTTAATAAGATAAAAATAACTCGTTAAAACCTGTCATAAATCCACACTAAGTAAAAAGTTTTGGCCCATAGACTGAACAGATTGAGCCGTCTGCTTTTATAACCCTATTGATGAACCCACTACACTTAAAAAGTATTGTGTCCAAAACAATCAGTGCAATGAACAAAGAAAATCAGTGCAACGGATACAATGTCCATTAATTTTTTTTAATTAGATGCTGTGCATGTCACCAATCAGATTCTATTTTACTGAAAAGCTTCTTAACTCAATATATCTTATGTTTTCTTTTTCTAAATTATTTTTTCTTTTTTGTTAACGCATTTGCTTAAGTCCCATGTTAACAAATAAAATTAATAATATTTTATATAATTGTTACTCTGTTAAAATAATTGTATTTTTTTTTACATTTAATTACAATTCATTGTTTTCTTAACCCTGGAAATATTACAAACCCGTTTTAAATAAAATATCATAACCGGGCAATTTCACTATCATATGCCAAATACACGCACTAGTTAATTTTAGGTATTATAACGGTTTTAATAAGGGTCAATGATTAGATTTAAGATCCAGGAATGTGGGTCATATAATCTACTGTTAAAGTTACGGTGATTTGATTTCCAAACTTAAACCCCTCAAAATTTTCATAAGCCACTAAAGTACTAAATAAATTTTCCTGTGTTTTCTCAGAAAAAAAAATGTTGCAATTCCTAACATAGTATTAAAGTCAAATAGTGTCAGAATGTCGGAAGAGTATTAAAAAAAATGTTTATGACGACGAGACATGTGAACGTTTTTAAACACTAAATATTACCTCTTTCCATGTTTACATTCTCCGACAACAAAGTTGAGGCTTGAAAGTGGAGGTGTCTATTTCATCCCCTCTCTTTGCATTTTTCTTATAAATAAATACATCTGGACACAATTTTCTCCATATCAAAGATGTTAAAGAAAAACTATTCAACACGTTAATTTAGCTATCAAAATTGGTTTGGTCACATTGACAAAGTCGTTAAATTAGGGTGTTAAAAATTGAATCAATAAAAAAATTTGAAAATTAATATAGAATTCAAAAACCTATTAAAACCATTTTTTTATTAAAACAGTTTATAATCGATCAATTTAGTTTTCAGTTTAACGGTTAAAAACCAACCCAAATCATAATTATAAAATATATACTAAAATTAAATAATGTGGGTAAATCAATTAAAACATAAACATCATGAAATATAAGAAACACAATTGATACTCATTATTTTGTTATTGGTTATGATGATACAATTTAATTTTATAAATAAATTTTATTGAAAAAAAAGTGAATTTTACATCACTTCATTATATTCAATATATTTTAACTCATAATAAAATATTATTTATTGTTAACCTTCATTATAATAACAAAATATATTATATTCATTAAGTAAAGTTATTCCTCTTCGTATTTCTGTGGAGTCAAACTTTATATTGCAGGCACCCCTTTGGCTACAACTTTTAGTTTTGTATATTACTTAACCACCTTTTTAGTATTCACTAAATAAAAAAGTTTTCTTTATAGTAAAATATTTGTTTTTTTAATCACTTTTGAAACCCTTTTCAAACTTCCAACAAATTATTACATTAATTTTTCTATATTATTTATTTAACAAGATTTGGTCCCATTAATTATTTTTATATTTAAAAAATAAATAAAATTATAATGTATCAATATGAATTTATGCATTATAAACTTAAATTTGTGTATCGATTATAATTTATTTTAAATTTAAATTAAGATGTATATAGCATAAATAATATAACCGATCGAATTACTCAATATTATTCGAGATATTAAACGTATGTGTAATAAAATATTTTATTATTATTGAATAGTTATATTTATATATTATCTTATTAAAAAGGGTTTGATGTTTTTTTTTTATATTTACAAAATATTTTTTTCCTGCGAATACCACGCCACTCTTTACATTGTAAATCTTAATTTATAATATAGAATTTATCTAAATTTATGCTACTAAAATATTTAATTTTGCCGATTAATTTTTATTAAAAATCTGACTTACTAACTTTTCCTATCAAATTTATTTCAGAGTTTTGAATCTATTTCATCTCACGTACTAATGTAATGCCGGTTAATAATTTTAAACCTTTATTATATTTAGAAACAACCGTATTATTAAGTTCTAAACAATTAAGAGGATAAAAACGTCTTTAATGTCTATTTCAATGAAATCAATGATCATATATTGACAATGAAAAATAATTTTACACTGTCATTTAATCATAAATTACTGTTCAAAACCAATTTTAAGATCATTATTATAAAAACTAATAAATTTGTCATTTATAATTTGATGAAGATGTAAATTTATTTTATATTGTCAACACGTAGTCAAATTTTTTTTTAAATTCATTTTAATTGAATTTATAATTTCATTTTAGCCAGGAAACAAACTCCCTATATTTGAACCAACAAATATTGGTAATTTGATTGATGAATTTTGAATAAAAATGTTCATAATGTTTAATTAATTTATTTTAAACAAGGAAGGCAACTTACATGTTAGAATAAAAAACATTGATTATAACAATTAAAAAAAGTTAAAAGATTAAATTTAAAATGAAAACCATCAAGATCATCAACCAAAATAAATAAACTACTAACAGAAAGAAGTGGATTCTATACTATACCTTTGATTATGACATGTCCCACTTTTTTATTTCCTAGCTCCAACATCGCTATATACATATATATAGTACCTGGTGAAGACTAGGAAATCCATCACTATGTTTACTCTCTTTCCCTCATAAGTTTTTCCACCAAATATTGAATCAACTAAGCTGGCTACTACGAAACCAATTGCAGTGCATAACAAAGTGGTTCATTTCGTAAGTGCTAATTGCCCATATTCTCGTTAATTTACCATTGTAAAATACCTGCGTAAGGCAAAGAAAAGAAAAATATAAGAACTGAAAACCAACATGGCCTCAAGTGTTGTTTGTCAATATCCGAGCAAATCACAATTGCAGGATGAGAATTTTGAAGATGAAATGGTTGTAACATCAGCAGCTGATGATGATGGAAAGGAGTGTAATGGAGCACCGAAAGACACATCTCCTGTGATTCCTGGGTGGTACGTTGATGTTTCTTGGCCAGGTACTATTACTTTCCAACTCTCTGTAAGGAGGCTTCACATTCTATTACTTCATTCATTTTTTTTATTTGATTTCATATCTGCTTTATTTTAGATTTTAATTTGGTGCCTTTTTTGGTCAATGGTTTAGATTTGGTGTTTAACTTTCTGAGTTTTGCGTGGGCTTTTCTCACACTACCAATTGGTTGTTATTCCAGAGCCATTTTCTTAAAAAATAACAGTAAAAGGGAGGAATAGTTTATTCAGAGGAAAGAAATAAAGAAATGGTTGTGTAAAAATAATGGCCTCTTATTAATGTTTGTAGCAATTAAAAAAGATCATACAAATTACTAACAAATTTAATATCATAATCAAATTTACTGAGTTTCTTAATTCTGTGAAGTTGTTCCAAATATATAAATGAATTTTAAAATCAGAAAAATATATTCTTGATTTTTGTTACTGTATACCAATATCCACATGTCATTTTTTTATTTTTACAATTATAAATAATGTTGGAATGCAATTTTTTGCTTATTATAAAATAAGGAATGGTGTAAAAAGCGTAACAACAATAATATATTATTACTATCAGTGTTGGTAACTTTTGTACTACTAACCACACTATCAATCAATACAGGAGAAGCACACATATATAAAATGGAAAAAATCATATTCCAAGGGAAATCAGAATTCCAAGAGCTTCTTGTATTTGAGGTACCTATTCTTTGTTAGCATTTCATATACTCTATAATCATTCGATTTGTTTTTATAATTTTGTTACTAGTTGTTTTTATAATCCATTCCTTCCTCATTTGATAATCTCTACAGTGTATAGGTTACCAAAGCATATACAGGCATAATTCTAGTATCTGGTCATGTATATCATCACATTTATTTATTGTTGGATACAATTTGTTTACTGTTTCTGGTTGTAGTATTCTAGAGGCTATAACACTCAAGAAATTTTATCATACTTTTCTCTGATTTTTACCAATAAAATAAAATATTGATGACATCCTTGGGTGTTGTGAGTTGTGCAGTCATCCAGACATGGCAAGGTTGCAATTCTGGATGGGGATATCCAGCTGACAGAGAATGATGAGTTTGCTTACCAAGAGATGCTCACTCACCTTGCACTCTGTTCCATTCCAAATCCAAAGAAGGTTTTCTGTTCTTCATTGTATCCCTTGTACATGAACTAAACAGCCTATCTAATGGAGAAAGAATAATTTCTGAAACAACACAGAAAATGTAGTGTGATTGCCAAATTTGTTAAACTAAGGGTTGATGAACATTACAGGTACTGCTAGTTGGAGGGGGAGATGGTGGAATTCTTAGGGAAATATCACGACATTCTTCTGTTGAGCATATTGATATATGTGAAATAGACAAAATGGTGATTGATGTAAGTCTTCAGGTTAACATTCTTGACATCCACTTTTAATGAACTTTCACCGAAATAAATAACAAATAAAAAAGAACCCCTCTCAAATCTTCTGTTATTGCTTCCATTGAATGTTCTTATAATCATGCTACATTCTTATGCTTTTGATTATACACTATATAGGTTTATAAGAAGTTTTTCCCAGATATAGCTGTTGGTTACGAGGATCCCCGAGTGCATGTTCATATCAGAGATGGTAAAAATTTAAACCACTTGTTTTCATCTTACAGAACAAACATGATATATAAATGAACCATACGAGTTTGTACAAGTATGTTATTTATAGAAAAAAAATTATAATGATTTCCACTCTCGAAAGAGAAACAGGAAGAGAGAGAAGAGAAGAGTGTTATAAGATAGGTACTGAAACGAAAAAAAAAAAAAACAATTATTGTAAGAATTTGCTGTAAGAGTTACATCACTCAACATACTTTTACCAAATTTCGGACAAACATATGCAGGAATTGCGTTCATCAAATATGTTCCTGAGGGCACTTACGATGTCATTATATTGGATGCTTTTCAACCCATGGGTAAAAAAGCCTTCTTTCTATCAAATGTTTATTTAAAACTGGGACTGAAGTGAGAAAAGAACATGCATGTTTTTGCCTTAAAAAGAAACAAGAAGTTGTTCAGAGATATGAGGGATTGCAATGTGATGCAGGACCTATTGCGGAAGTTCTTGCTGATAACTGCTTCTTAGAATCAGTAGCAAAGGCTCTTCGGCCTGGTGGAGTGTTGTCTGCTCCAGCAGACAGCTTGTGGCTTAAGAACTTTGTAGTTGCGGATACCATAGCAAAATGCAAGAATATATTCAAAGGCTCTGTTAACTATGCTTGGACCACAGTTCCTACATATGCAAGGCATTTCTGATTTAACCATGTACTTACTTTTTTGAACTCCAGATATTAAGAGAAGGTTTTGGTGAGCAGTGTTTATTTGTTTTTGTTTACCAGTGGGGTGATTGGATTCATGCTTTGCTCCACGGAGGGTCCCCAAGTCAACTTCAAACACCCAATAAATCCATTGAACCCAGAGCAAAATGGTGTCGCAAAGGGACCTCCGAAGTTTTATAATTCAGAGGTAAACCATTGAAACGATTTCAGTTCAAGTTCAAGGATTAACCTACTTGTTTTTCTTTATTCTCTTTCCAACTTAAGACTTAATTCCTCTCTTGCCTTCTATTTTTGTTACTACAGATCCATGCTGCTGCATTCTGTCTTCCTTCTTTTGTGGACAAGGTTGTTGATTCAAAATGATATTGATAAAGAACACAGAAGTAGTAATAAGAATTTGCTGTTACCCTTTAAGTGTGTCGTTTTGTATATTTATGGCTGAGTGGTTGGTTGCACATGCAAAACTGCTGTAAGTTTATAAAAATGAGAAGTTGATAATCTGCCATGTTATTTCTTAATTATTACTCCTGATTCCAAATGAATCCAGTTCCTACAAGGAATGGATGCTTAGCTTCACATATTTTTGGTGAGCGATTATAAAAGATGCCACACTCTACTCAAATTAGCTGATCAAATTCAGGTTGGTTTACCTAGTCGTTACAATACCTAATGGTGTAAAAAAATTAAAATATAGAAAAATACCAAATTGTAATAAAATGGACCAAACTATATAATGAATTTATATATAATCGTACAAAATAAAAATTATTATTTTTTTAAATAATATGGCTTCCATTAGAATGACTGATATAACCGAAAATTGATGCTCTCCATCCAATTTTTGCTAATTCAATCCACTCAACAAATTTCCAAAAAGCTGGGTTCGTTTAAATTTTTTTCTTCACTTAGTTCTTTTATAAATTTTTATTCCTGTATCATCACCAAACTACTCAAAATAAATGTATCAAAAGTTACCATTTTAGTATCTTACATTTTTTTTTTACTTTATAAATTAATAATTCAAGGTATAACAAAGTTTCAAAGTTTAAAAAATTATATAAATTGTTTCTATTTTTCAGGTATACTTGGCCATCAACATCTGGGCACCAATTTTATTAAGTACTTCATAGTGCATGCACTATCTTAATGCAGGTAAGATTTATCTAATCATAGCTCTACCATGCATCTTACACTGGATTATCCTTTCCCAAATCAGAAACTCCTCCATTGTCTCCACCCTATCAACCATCATGTAGTTTGCTCCTTAAACACAACTCTATAGCCTCCACCAATACCTACAAACCACCATCAGTGTCATATGCTTCTCCAAAACTCCTCCACCACCATCAGTGTCATATACCATATCCACGATCTCTACCGCGAGGAGTCCATTTGGTTGAGACACTGCTCTTATGTAAAGTAGGTCCTTGTCACCCATGATTTCGCGTTTTGAACTAGAAGTCCGTGTGAGAGTTAATCGATGCCTTCATCCTCATGCCATGAACATTAGGTCGATTTCATTAAATTGACGGTATACACGTTGAAGGAATTTCCATGAAATTAAGCACTTTTAAGTATTTTGTCCGTTTAATTATTATGAAATCCTTATGGTTCTTGGACTTCAATTGTGTTACCCTCTGTACTGTGTTTGTGTCGTTCTGCATATTTAATGGGAAGTTGATAACCTGTCAAATATCTTCTTTACAGTTGATTCCAATCACTGTACATACAATTGATGAATAATGCAACTCACATTCAACTTACATTTATTTGCTTGTGCATTGTGAATAAAACAATGGATGAAAAATGTTTCTTATGGTTTACCATATATACTGCAGAATTTCTGATTGATCCAAACAAATTTGACTTTATTAACACTTACAAGAGCCTTTATTCGAACAGCTGAATCGTCGTCCATAATGACAGTAATCAAGTATCAAACTTCTACATTCGATCACTTTGCAACAAGATACGTATTTTCTTTTGGAACAGTGGAACTAGATACAGATAACTACGAATGTCAGTTCTTTACATATTTCTAGTGATTGATAGTACTATAAATACTGGGGGCAAGATTCTTGCTACCCTCGCAACTGAATAGCGTTGGCAAAAAGCAGAAGACATCTGTATTAGTGTAAACTCTATTAAAGAGGAATTTGATTTGGATCAGGATCTTTTGGGGACATGGACATTATACACAAACCGTAAGGTAAGAAAAAGTATACGGCTAAGAACACAAGAACACCAAGATCGGCCTCTTCACCAACTGCTGGGCGACGCGGACTGATCCAGTATATCTGGATTGCACACCAAAGACAGTACAAGGAAGCAATGGAGATCATAAGTAGCATCGACTGATATGACTTTTTCTTTATGGAGTTTGAGGAACTTGCTCTGCGTGGAAATTAAGGAGATGAAAAGAACTCAAAACCATGCAGTGTTTATACTATATCTTGATGACTAACATGGTAAGTTGCAAAGAGAAAAACCTGTTGAGGTAAAAAAAGCCACCAATTAAGCAAGCACATAAGAAGCCAACTATAACAACAGCATCTGGGTTCACTGGTGCTCTACTTTGCCACCAGCCAGTGCTCAAAATCCAAGTGTACGTGGTTGTTTTCCCATTCTCCTGAGTGATTTGGGAGATAATATATATTTATCAATCAGTTGTAGTGCAAGAGTAAATGTTCAGGACAAATTATGACAAAGTGACTTCAGCATTTGGCTTTTCTATGGACACCATTAGATAATTTGCAGTCCAGTAAAATTCAGATCAATTCCAGGTTTCTTCCTTTGTTTCCATTAAAAGAAAAAAAAAAACTATCAGCACTATATCTGTAAATGCTATCATAAATAGGCAAGAAGAATAGTAGTTCAATATTTTCACTACAAACACCCAGGAAACAAAGCTTTTGCTCGAGGTAAACCCTTAAATTAGTCTTTTACAATTGAGATTATATAGATCAGACATTTAATCCTAAGATATTGCTAACTTTGTAAAATGTAATTCATTTTAATCATTTCTACATATAGCAACTTTGTACCAAAAAAGACTTAAGTGTATAACATTTTGTCAAGTCAAGGTCTAACAGTTTATAATATGTAAAGGTATTGAAATGTTTAATCCATACACATTAACATCTTGTGGTGCGATGGATTCTCCCAGGATTCTCATAAATTTTTATCAAACAGGTTAATGCACAAGCATCCCACACCGCCGCCAGAGGGGCAGACCGTGAGGATGTTAGGGTCTAATTGTTAAGGGTTTATAATCTGAAAATCTAGTTTTAACTTTAAATGTCCATACTGATAATTGGAATCTAAACATTTATTCATTGTTGTGTACTACTGAAACTTTATTAGTATTTAAGACTCGACTGAAACTTTACCTTATTAGAAATAAGAGAGGGAGAGATAAAAGAGAAACTGATATATATTTTTGTACTACTGAATTGTGAGAGATTACAGTGAAGCACAAACGATTCTCTATCATACGCTGAAAGACCTGATTAACGAATAATAGAATGTTCCTGTAGCTATGAAACAAACAAAAAAATGTTGATGAAGCTAAATTAAAGTTTTCAGGGTGACATGAACATCTAAAATATTTTTTTCTTTTCTTAATCACATGCATAAACGTAAATAAAAATTATATTTTATATTGTTCAACATGTGATGGAAAACTTTAGTTTATTTTTCCCCTCATTTTTTTTATCTGTATTCTCATCATTTTGTAGAACATCTTTAGTACAATATCTTAGTTTGAGTTCTTGCGCAATTTTTTGGTGGATTTTCCATGTAAAATAAGATATAAAATCTCTAAAAGATCTCATCTAATTTTTACTTTAGCGGTTAATCTCACTTTAACATCTTAAATAACATTTTGTAAGTCCGGCAGTCTTCTTTCCTTCTTCCACCATCTCTTACTTTTGACATATTCAGGTTCCAGGAGAAGAATTTGTTCTCCAACATACTAGAAAAAAATATTTTCCCTTTAGTACAAGGTCTTGTAAAATACAAATCTTGTGTTTAAGATTCCAACATTCTAGATTAGGTTCATGATAAATCTAAGACATCTAGTAACAAAAACGAAAGTTAAAGAGTCACGGTTAATATGCAGTTAACCATCAATGCAGCTAAAGTGGCAATGAATGGCTGATGTAATCTCTTTCTTTTTATACAATTTGAATCTAAAAGCTCATACAAACTATTCAAGTTTCTCATGCTAAGTTACCCAGTGGATGAGTAATCAAAAGTCACAATAACAAAAACATATAAATCAAACGAAAATGGATGTTTCCCATGTAGCACCAATTAGGCCAATATTAATGGGGAAAAGTAGTCAAACAGAACTTATTAACAACAACCAATTATGCTTTGTATTTTATATAATGAACAAAGCACTAACCCTTTAGACAATGATTCCTTTTCACATAGGACAAACAAAACATGCCACGCTGATACAGCTATCCTTAGTCCCTGATCATACAATTTCTTCTCTTCTGATGGAGGATTTCATAAGATTTCTAAGGCGTATAGTATAGTAATCTCCCAAAAAGACTTGATACCCATCATAAAGATCCGATATCCAAAGATGAAACAATCTTCATAAAGACTTGATACCGCTTGAACTAAAGCTTTTGGGTTAATTTACTAATATATTTTGATCATAGAAAACCATACATGTGCAGAAGCAAACATAAAATGCTGGCAACATAAAAGGTGTCTACATATTACCTCAAACAGATGATCAAGAAAGAAGTGAGTAAAAGAGCCAGCAGATATCAAGAAAAAGCATTGCATCCTCGTAAGGGGCACCTGCAATCCGAGGTTAATAAATTGGCAGATCCTGAATTTTCAGCTTCGAGGAAATAGAAAGAGTGAGACTGACCCTGGAGACAGAATCAAGAAGGTGTGTGTGAAGAAGATAGGAGGATATCCGAGAATAGAGAAAAGAGAGAGGAAGACCCAAAACAAGGATGTAGTAGAAAGGATGGTGGATGAGATGTGCAAGAGCAGATCCCAAAGCATCAAAAGGGCCACCAAAGAGTGAACCTAGCCACTCCGAGAAAGAACCAATATCAGGGCCAAAGAAGGCGTTTACTGTGTAGGTTAGTGTGTGGTGAGGACTAAACTTTCCATTGGTGATGCTCGTGAGAGCCAAACCAGAGGCCATGGCGTACATGAGGTGAGGACCAGGGCCTGGCATTGCCTCCAACCTAGTTATACTCGAATCAAGCACACACCTGCACGCAACACAGGTTTTGGTTGTTCTACAAAACTAGCCGCCTCAATAAATACTAAATAGCATCAATCTAATCTCACTTTGTTAGTTGTGTTGGATACTCATTTTGGTTTCTTTTTTTACCGGTTTAACCCTGCAGGTTCCACCCCAGCCACTATATAAAGCCTTCTTAATTTGTCCAAGCACCCCCTTAATAGAAACCTGTAAAAAATAATTTAACACGTGCTTATCAAGAAATTAAACAAAAATAGTATTAGTATATTTTACAAAAGATATTTTGCTTGTTTTTAAATGCTTATTAAAAAATTATTTAGAGAAAGTAAACTCATTTCTAAAAGAAATTTGGTGACATTTTAATCTTTTTATAAGTTTTTAATCATTGAATATATTAATCATTTTTAATGATTAATAAATGTTAGTAATAGTGATATATTAAGTACAAAGGTGTAAGTGAAATGGACTTAAATGCTTATGTTTATATATGAATTTTGTCTGCTTATTATTTTTCTTCTTGGTTGAGTTGTTGGATATCTTCCCTTCTCTCCTCCTCTCTCACCAAGTATTCATTCATCTCTCTCATGTTACTAATCTTTGCTAAATGATTGATTTTATTTATAATGATTTTATTTTGGATCTCTCAATTGTTAAAAGCAAGAAAGGAGCAAAACCAGTATGTGACGAGGGAACAGACTAGTCATACCAAAATCTACAATCTTGGGCCATTTTTCATCAATCTTGCTTCAACCTTTACATTGGGTTGGAAAGGAAAACTCAGTTCATACATTCTAAATTCTTAAATCGATTTCGTTTCATGGGAACACAAAAGCCTTCCAAATTCACTACATTCAGATGTTGCACATAAGCCTACAACTTGGGCACATTCATGAACTCCTTCTTATCATCTCTCTCCCACATTCAGCTTCTCTTGCAAGAAAATCCAAAAACACAAATTCCACTCATAAGTGATAAAAATATTTCCAAAAACCTCTTTCTTGTATTGAATATGATAGTACAATATATACATGAAATACAGAAACATTCTAGGCTATAATTACGCTAACCATTATAGTCGGTATCCTAAATTTGTCTATTAACAGATATGACATTAATGTGCATCGCTGTCATGCCAAGCTAAATATGGAAAAAATTAATCATGTAGAATCATGGCATGATACGGTATTTGTAATCGTATATTCTATGTTTATCACCCTCCCTCAAGATGGAGTATGAAGGTTGTGAATGCCCAACTTGCCTAAAAAAGAACCAAATTTAGTGGCGCCAAGAGATTTGGTGAAGAGATCAGCCAGTTGATGATGAGTGGACACATAGGAGGGTTGGATATGATTGTGTTGTATTTCATCACGAATAAGATGACAATCCACTTCAATATGTTTTGTCCGTTCATGAAACACGAGGATTCTTGGCAATGTGAAGGGCGACTTGGTTGTCACAGGAGAGAGTCATAGGGTCGGTGTGAGTAATGCCTAGGCTCGAAAGAAGGCCTTGAAGCCATTTCAACTCACATGTCGTGTTGGCCATAGAACGATATTCCGCCTCAGCTGGATGATCTAGAAACCGTATGTTGCTTCTTGGTTTTCCAGGAAACGGGGATTGACCAAGGAAAATAAACCAACCAGTGAGAGATCTTCGAGTTAGAGGACAACTTGCCCAGTCCGAGTCACACCAACCATAAAGACGAAGGTCACTCTCTTTTTAAAAGCACACCTCGACCTGGGCCGCCCTTTAAATAGCGTACCACGCTGAGTGCAGCCCGCCAATGCTCCCGACGCGGTTGGTGCATGAATTGAGATAGGACATGAACACCGTAAGATAATTCAGGTCGTGTAAAACACAAGTAAATAAGGCGACCGACGAGACATCGATATTGACTCGGGTCGAAAGTAGTTCGCCATCGCCCAATGCTAAACGATGATTTTCTTCGATTGGCGTGGACACAGTGTTCCCTCCAAGCAATCCCGCTCAGCTATGATGTCCAACGCATACTTCCGTTGACACAAGAAAATTCCCGTAGGAGATCCGGCAACCTCCACCCCAAGAAAGTATTTTAATTTCCCTAAGTCCTTCATACGAAAACATTGATGAAGATAATCTTTGAATTGCGCAATGTCTTCATGATGATTGCCAGCAATGACTAGGTCATCCACGTAAACTAACACAACCAGCTTCGACATCTCCTTTGCGAAAGATGAACAAGGAGTGATCGACGAAGAACGTTGAAACCCATATTGAACAAGAGCAGCTTGAGAGCTTGGCAAACCAACACCGAGGAGCTTGACGAAGATCATAAAGGGACTTGCGAGACGACACACCATACCCTTTTGAGACACCAAGAACCCCGGCGGCATTTTCATGTACACATCTTCCTCAAGATCGCCGTGCGTAAAAGCATTATGAACATCCATTTGATGAAGTTCCCAGCCTTTGGCAACCGCCACCGCCAACACCTGTCCGAATGGTGACCATCTTTGCCACTCGGGCAAAAGTCTCGTCATAGTCAATCCCCTCAACTTGGTGATTTCCCAAGACAACTAATCGGGCTTTGAAGCGTTCAACGCTCCCATCAGAATGATATTTGATTTTATAAATCCACTTGCAACCCGGAGGCTTCTTCCCGCCTGGTAGAGGAGTAATGTCCCATGTTTCATTACTTTGGAGGGCCCGAATTTCACTAGTCATGGCATCTCTCCATCTAACATCCCGAATAGCTTCAAAGAAATGCACAGGTTCTCTCTCCGCATGAAGTGGTTGCAAGAAAGGTTCGTGGGGGAAGGAGAATTTAGCACAATTTAAGTACTTTGTCAAACCTGTAAGGCATACCCGAGGAAGCTCGAATGTGGAGTGCGAATCGAGGGACCGAGTTGTAAAGTGGTGTTAGTGACATAATCACGAAGCTTCACAGTATGGCTTTCGTACACGAAGACCTTTCCCCAGGGATGCAGGGACAGTATGCTCCTCAGGAACCTCTAGTTCCGTCATCATAGAGTCGGCTTTGTTCTCGTGGGAGATCGATCCGGGTGGGAGGCTCTTGTTCATGGCATTCAGCCGTGGCCCTCCCCGAACTCGGTTGTGGGCACATCTTCCGTCTGTGGGGTTAACGTCATCGACCTCCACAACGTGTTCCGCATTGTTCATTACACCAAGTCCAGGCAATGCTTCCTCGACAATGCCAACATCAACAGGAGGCAATCCTACCTCTGAATGTCTACTGTGGGCAAGAGAGGCAAACGGAATTCATGCTCTACAAACTTAACATCTCTCGAAGTCCAGTAAAACTTCTCTTTCCAGCATCAAACAATTTCCAGCCCTTTTTTCGATTGAATATCCAACAAATACATTCTTGCGACTTCTACTTGCAAATTTGTCACCTTTCCTATCTTGGTTATGTGCATAACACAAGCATCCAAATACCCGTAGATGGTCATAAGTGGGTGGCTTCCCATTCAATATTTCATATGGAGTTTTTCCATGGAGAACGGCTGAGGGTGTACGATTGATCAAGTATCCTCATGGTCAAAATGCATTCTCCCTGAATTGAAGTGGAAGTTCTCCCTCGAAATCGTAGAGCACGAGCTACATTTAGGATGTGTCGATGTTTTCGTTCGGCTCTCCCATTTTGCTGAGGTGTTCCAAAGGCATGAGGTTTGATGGAGTATCCCATGTTGCCGAAAATATCGTTGAAGACACATAAACTCAGTCTCCATTGTCACTTCGTAATATTTTGACTTGTTTCTCGTATTGTCGTTCTATTAAGGCGATGAAATGCATTAAGGTTTGTGACACATCTTTCTTATTATTCAAGAGATATATCCACACAGCCTCGAGAATAGTCATCAACCAAAGTGAGAAAGTAAGATGCACCACAAGACGAGGGAGTTCTATATGGACCCCATACATCACAATGTATTAAATCAAATATATTGGATGCTTGAAAATCACTTAAAGGAAATGTGTTTCTGCATTGCTTTGATCTCTCACACACTTCACACACACGAGTTGTATCCGTATTTCTATTCACGCTGTTCAGATGCGGAATTTTTCTAACAATCTGGTAGGCAGGATGTCCCATTCGCTTGTGCCAAATCTCTAGTTGATTTTCTGCATTGGTCTGATACGCCTTTATGCCACTCACACCACGATACCAATAGAGTCCCTCTTTTCGTTCACCCGCACCAATCAAGCATCCTCGAAGTGTGGTCCTGCATTGCACAAAATCTATCAAGAAATGTACCGTACATTTTACTTCATTCGTCAATTGTGATACTCGAAATCAAATTGCAATTCAATTTCGAACATATAGAACATGTTTAAGTTTCGATCCTCCATCAAGGAAAACCGATCCTTCTTTGTTTGCCAGCACCAATTCACCATTTGGTAGTCCCACCGGGCACCCTTCCAAGGCTCGACTCTCCCTCAAGTTTTCTAGTGTTCCTGTCATATGATTAGAGGCGCCACTATCAATAATCCACAAGTCACATGCTTTCTTACCAGCCATCTTTTCGCTTCATTTGCCTTGCGAGAATTCAACATTGTCTGCCAAGATCTCGCCATTGCTCATTACTCGGCCCCGCGACTTCGGTTTTTCGGTTGAACCAACGTTATCCGCACCCGCTGTGCGCCATATTGACGCGAGTCGTTCCTCCTTTTCCTCGAAGGTTCCCTGTTCTTTGTTGATTTTTTTCATCGTTTTTATCGGCTCGTGGTCTCTCTCCCCACCATTCTCGGGTAACCAATGATCTTGAAGCAATTGCCTTTGTCATGTCCCTTCCTTCCACACCGCATGCAAACAACCGATTTTTCTTTCGCTTCATTGCGCAACTTGTTCCTCGGTTTCCGCTCGCATAGCCATTCCCACGATCATTCCTTGCTCTTCTTTAGACCTCGGTGATTGTTCTCACCCTTTCTTCTTGCACCATGGTGCCATACACCCGATTCAACGAGGGTAATGGATCCGTTGCCAAAACATTTGACCGTGCAGTTCCATAGCCCTCATCATCTAGCCCCATCAAGAACTCGATGAATTTTTCTTCTTCTCTTCGTTTCTCAAGTTGCGTCATAATATTACACTTGCATCCCCCACATCTACACCGTGGATTTGCTCGTAATTTGCCAGCTCATCCCACAACGTTTTCAACTTCCCATAATAGGAAACCATAGTCATTCCTTGTTGTTTGCATTCTCGCCAACTCGACTTTAGCCGCTGGATTCTTGGTCCGTTCACGATCGAGAATCGTTCCTTGATGTCATCCCATAGGTCCTTTGCGTTTTCCATGTATGCAACAGTGGAACGCAAACTAGGTTCTATAGTGTTTAGTATCCAAGATACAAGCATCGATTGAATTGTCCACCAATCTTCTATCTCGGATGTGTCTTCTTCAGGTTCCTTATGAGTTCCATCTATGAAACCCCATTTCCTTCGAGCCCGCAGAGATATCTTCACCGCCCTTGCCCATTCCTCGTAATTCTCTCCTCGTAATTGTACTCGTGTAATCACATTTCCAGGATTATCACCGGCACTCGGATCGTATGGCGATGGTGTTTTCTTCACCGTCTCTCCTCTCTCCGCCATTTTAGAAGTACGATCGTGTTCTCAGCCGTTGGATATCGAGTTTGGTTCGCTCCGATACCATGATAAAAATATTTCCAAAAATCCCTTTCTTGTATTGAATATGATAGTACAATATATACATGAAATACAGAAACATTCTAGGCTATAATTACGCTAACCATTATAGTCGGTATCCTAAATTTGTCTATTAACAGATATGACATTAATATGTATCACTGTGCATCGCTGTCATTCCAAATTCACTACATTCAGATGTTGCACATAAGCCTACAACTTGGGCACATTCATGAACTCCTTCTTATCATCTCTCTCCCACATTCAGCTTCTCTTGCAAGAAAATCCAAAAACACAAATTCCACTCATAAGAAAATGGATCTAAGCTTCTTATTATAATTAGTAAAATATAATACTCATTTTTATTTTTGGACTGATTGAGAGATAAAACAGAACTAAAATAGTTGAAAGAGGGTTATGAGAATTATAATTTGTTTGATTTAGTTTTACTTTTGGTTTTTAAACCAGTTTTTAAAGTAATCTTGATAAAGTCTTTTTTAAAATAAGTTAACAAACACATGTCTATAGTTTTAAATCATTTTTAGATGAAAAAAATGATATCGATAAAAAAAATTACGACAAAAGTAAAAAAAAAAAAGTTAACAGAAAATATCAATTTTAGTTTTTTTAGTTTTCAAAAACTAAAAATTAAAAAAATTAAAAATAGTTTTAATAAAACAGTTATCAAATAAATTTTCAAAAATTAAAAATTAAAAATTACTTTTAAAAATAACTCTTTATCTTAATTGAATTTCCCTTTTAAATAAATTTTTTTCTATAAAATTTGAATCTAATACATTGTTTAAAACAATCGAGTTTGATAGCACTTAGTTTCATATAATCAATAAATAATATTTAAATATTAAGTTTAGACACTAATTTCATTCTTTCTTATCTTAACCTTGATTTTAGAAATAAATAATTGTTACTCTTATCTTGATGTAACTGTAACATCACCAGATGTCAAAGTAGTTAAAAAAAAAGACAAGATTAGGCTAAAGAAAATTAGATTAATTGTGACTCGATTTATTTAATTCATAACTTAAATGTGTTTAATATAGGTTAATTTATTATATAAAATAATATTTTTAAAACAAAAATATTTATTAAAGTAAATATTTGTTTTAGTATTACGAATTAATTGAGAAATGATTAATTTACTTTAAAAATAAAATATTATTTTAAATTATTAGATTATTAAAAAATAAAAGGTAATTATAAGAGGTATAATATATCTAATTCAGTAAATAAATTTTTCTTTTTACAATTTATATATCAAGTTATTCAAATATAACTTAGATTTATAAATATATTTTATATTAATTCTTAAATTAATTTGTCTAATATAATTATTTTTTAATTGGTTTATTTTAATATATTTTATTGTAATTAAGTTGAATATTAAAGTTCATAAAACATATCACCACAATAACAATAAATAAATACATAATTGTAAAAATTATTGTAATTGAACATAACGTGGGTGCCTACAACTTACTAGCGGGTATCGTGGGTGCCGAAAAGCTTTCACAGGAACACAAAAAGCCCACCCCCTACAAACCAGCTGAACCTTTGGGCAGGCTCTGCAGATCAACAACAATAGCTGCACGGAGTACAGTAGAGGGGTCGGTCATTCGGTAAGTTCCTCCGATGAGGACTCCCATACAATTCTGTTTAGAGTTGGTGAAGCATCTACCGTCAATCATCTCATAATTTTTTTTATATTTTTTCTTTCTTTATTTATTATTTATTTTTTCTTTTATTTAGTTTTTAATTAAAATTATTATATTAAAATTTAATAAAAATATTAAAATATTTTTTTTAAAATTAATATTAAAACTAAAAAATATATTAACTAATTATTTAAATTATCATGACAATAAATAATTATTTATGATAATATAATAATTAATTTAAAATTATTCATCATAATAAACTAATTACTAATTTAATTAAAAATATCAAATATTAATAATTTTTATTTACTAATTTAATAATAATTAGGTTAAATAATAATGATTAGATAGATTGGGTAATTTTAAAAAATATTTATTAAAAAGTTACTTCAAAATAAATATTTTAAAAAATATTAAATATTTTAAAAATAAATATTTATTTTTTTAAAATAAATATTTATTTTTTTCTCAATAAGTATACCATTGTCATATATCAAATTTATCATATTTTTTAAAATATAAAATATTAAATTTATAATATTTTAAAATATTTTTTTCATAAATAATAAAAGACTATTTAATCAAATTTTAATATAATATTTTCAATTAAAAGAATAAGATGGAATAAAAAAAGGGAGAGATTTTTAGTTAAAAGAACAAGATGGAATTGAAAAACAAAATAGACATTTAAAAAAATAATAAAAAATAAATGAAGATAGAAATAAAAATATAAATAAAGAAAATGAGAAAATACTATATTATATGAAACAATTTATTATCTATTATTGATTTTTTTATAAATAATAAATCGATCTATTGAATAAATTTAGAGATATTTAAATAATTTTTTTAAATATATTAATGAGATTAATTTAAAAAAAATATATATTTTTTATTTTCTTTGTTACTAAATAAGTAAAATAATATATATATATATATATATATATATATATATATATCGATTAATATCCAAAAATTTATTATTTATATTATAATCATTATTATTTATTTACAAGAATTAAGAAACTTTGAAAATATTAGTTTGTGAAAACTATTTTTAATCAATGATTTTCTACAATTATTGTTGAAATGAGTTGTTAAATAAAAAATAAATTTATAAATTCATAAATTAGAACAAAATTATTACTCTAATAAAAATAAATGTTCTCATGTTAAAAATACAAAGTATAAATTTATTATTTTAAATCATTCATAAAAAAATTCTAATAGATTTTTTTAAAATTATTATTTCTTGATGAAACAATTTTTTAAAACAATTTATCGTATTATTGAAAAATTCTTCAATAAAATGTTATTTTAAAATAACTAATATTTTATTTAATTATTTTAATAAATATTTTGTATCAATTATATTTAATATAAATTATAATACTTGTTTAAAATAAAGTAAAATTTAATTTTTATGTTGTAAGAAACTTTTAAATTGTAGTGGCACCACCCTTTAATTTTAGGCGCACACACCTTCTCCCTATGGAGTCTCGATCTGATCATTCTTTGACTGCAAAGAGACAAAGGACAGGATGAGACACTTTTAGAAGAAAAGAAAAACATTAAGCTAACATGCGCCAAATCATATTAACTAGAAAATTTTGTCCAAGGAATTTGGTGGAGGTAAAAAAAATAGAAACTATGAATGCTTATTTATAACTATTAAGCCATAATTACATTGAATTTGAGTTTAAAAGTTATAAATAAATTAAAGGCCAATTTAAGTCATAATACAAAAATCAATTTGAAATAAACTCTTTTTATTTAAATAAGTTAAAACTGTTCTAAGCGACAAAATATTTATTTTTTAAGTTTGAATGGAGTCATACGTTTTAGATTCAAATTTAAGATAATCAGACATTAGATAGTCAGTGTGTTTTGTGGTAGAATTAGAAAGTTATTATTGAAATATCACCAACAAGTATCATAAAAAAAATATAAGATCAAAGTGTTGTTATCATAATATTATTCCAAAAAATCTTGGATTAAATGAATATTTAAATTATTATTTATGAACATAGTTTTAGATAGTTTCAGAAATTAGGTTTAATGAAAATAAATTTAAATAAAAGACTAATTTATATTAAAATTTAATACAAAAATATAAATTAAATATTAAAACAAAAATTATAAATTTGTTTACTGTTTGGACAGACAATTTAGTTTCATGTAAACACTTGTAAAAAGTGTAAAATCTTGAAAAGAGAGTGTTGTACTCTCAAGGGAGATGCAGTCCAATGTGATACTTGTACTATATATATATATATATATATATATATATATATATATATATATATATATATATATATATATATATATATATATATATATATATATATCATCTTTATTTTTATTTTTTAGTTTTTACATTTTTCACAGACAAGTTCAATCTTAATTAAAAAAAAATAAGATTTTTTTCAACATTTTATTATTTTCACCTTACTAATAATTGTTACAATTGGATATTGATCATCTTATTAAGTCTATTTCTAAAACTCCCAAAAATACCACCATGTTGATTCTAATTCTTTAACACACTTATCCTTCATTGTCTTTAGAAAGAAAAGAAATTTTTTAAATAAAATTACTTGCAACTTTTCACATACTCAAGCCACCTCTGTTCCTACTCACATTTCTGTTTCAAATTATCCACTTTTCTTTTAATGTCATCTCATATTCTCTTCTTTGTGTTTGTTTGCCTCTGTAAGTTTGTTGAGACAAGTCAAGGATCAGGTAAATTGACCACTTGCCAGCCATTGATCACTTTGTTCTTTCTTTCTTTTCCTCCCCTTACCCTTCAGTGCATAAATAAACTTCCTTTCATTTTCATTGTTTTGTATTCTTGGACTATCAAAGGGAAACATTCTTGAACATCGAATTCCGATTTTTCTTGCAGGGTCATTTTCAATACCTAACTAACACAGGATCAATGTTTGGTTCCTTGGATCAGTTCCCTGCTTTTCAGGTAAATGCACTCTTTGTCTTTACTTTCTTGCTATTTGGGTCTTTGGGATCCTTTAGCATTGGCATTGGTATTTACATTGATTTTTGGAGCTGTTTATTTGGTGAGGAAGTATCTTGATCAGGGATAAACTATTTTTGCATGTGCAAGAATGTAATAAGACCATGTTTGGATCTTGCTAAGGATGCACGTTAGAATCTAAGGTTATAGCATTGGTTGAATTGTCAAAGAGTGAATTTTATCAACTCTGGGATTCACACTCTCTTTAGCAGCTGATTTTCTATTCTTTAACTGATGGTTTCCTAATCAGTTGTTAATTTGTTATCATTAATACTGTTCTTTATAAAATACTTTCATATTCAATATAATAACGGTTCATATTGTTTAGCTAGTTGGCTGTTTTTGGTATCTCAGGATGTGCAGCATGTTGGAAAATGTATAAAATTGGAATACTCAATGTTAAGAGGGACAAGAAGATAATTTTTTTTATAAAAAAACGCAAGTGCAAGTAACGTGTAACTTCAGTATAGTAGTAAAAATAGAATTCAAATTCCAGAATGGATTTGCTTGGATTTTGTATTTTTACTGTATACGGGTTGCAGAAAGACAAATTTGAACAATGTTCTATGATAAGGATGAATTAATATTCCTCTTTTTGTTTCATTAATTTGAAATCTATTCAGTGGCTATGATGTTATTTGATGGTTGAACATTGTTATGTTTTAATTATTTTTTAGGCATACTTTCATTGTTTACTGAGGTTAGGGAGTTTCTCCTTGTGTAGGTACACTTGATTAATGTATTTAGTTGTTAAAGGGATGTAAGCAATCATATCAATTTGTTGGAGGTTAGCGAAGAATTTAAGAATGTGAATCAAGATGCTTCTGTACATGGTAATCTTAGTTGGCTAACCGTTCGCTATCATAACGCGTCCTATGAGCTATGCACTGAAGAAATGCATGAAAGACTAGTAACCGATTACAGATGTTCAAGAGATTAACCGTTAGAGTTTGAGTTCAATTTCGGTCTAGATACAGCTATGTCGCCGCATGCCTTATAGTGTATGGTTGTTGATCTCCATTGAACATTCCTTTTTAGTTTCTGATTCTGTATTTCTGATTTGAGTGGAACTTTCATTGCTTAGAATTGGATGATTCAAAGATTGAGTATAAATAGATCATGAGATTGGCTCCATGAATGAATTAAATCCAAGGTATAAATGTGTGCACCATATATAAGCTTGTTAATGTTCTCTTCTACTTAGGATAGATTTTTGGTTTAGTTTTGTGATTCTGTGATTCTTATCAAGTCTGCCTGCAACTGCACAGATTACAGAATTGTATGAATGGAAGATTAAAATACTGAAGCCATTGTACCCTTAAATAGATTCTCTTCAATTTTCTACCTTTCTCTGAAGAAAGTTCTATTTGTTTTTTATTTAGAGAATCTTGAACTTAAAAGGAAATTTTATAGGTGGTAGGATCACAATCATAATACCCATTTATGATATAATGTATGTTGTGCTTTTCCTCCTGTTGCATAGATAGTGGAATGGCTCATTTCAATTAATGATTTTTTTTTCTCTGAGCGATTCTGCCTCTGACTACCTGATTCTTACAATTAGTGTCTGGAAAATAAGTTGAGGTTTCTCTTTCTACTGTGATATATAATTTGCTGGTGATTACTGAAAGAAAATGGGGAATGTGATAACTTACTTTGTTTGCTTCTGCCATGGTACATGTTCAAGATAGTAACCTATATTCGTACCATTCGTTTGCAATTTTTTGGTAATAAATACTATTTTTGTAGTTTTTTAGCGATTTAATTACTAGTTGGACTTTTTATTTCAATTATCTATAATGGAGTTGAACATGGTAACTAATCATTAGAAAATGCTTATCGATCATGTAGCTGCTTTGTAAGACAATTTCATATCCATACAACTAATATTCATTAGTTTGTCAATTGAACTATTTTCAATGGGCGAATTTGTTAACAGAGTGATTATCTATCTGCATTTAAGCAGACAAATAATTGTGTGTGAAGATTTTGCTTTAGTTATTTACCTGTGTGTTGTACTGCTGCTGTGATCTTTCATGTTTTAGTTATATCTATTTCTCTTCCATTTTCACAGGTTTCTGCTTTTCGTTGGGCCGTATTCAAGAATATGCAGTTCTGACTACTACTGGATCATAATAACAGCTCACTTTCATAGCTCAGGACTTCATAATTGGAGCTAAGATGGTGGTAAGATCGTGCTCGAATTTGTCTGACTTGGTGTCCGAGGACAGTTTGAATTCCCCTCAAACTCCAGGAGCTCTTCCTCGCACCCTGTCTGTTCCAGGAATTATGTCTGATCTTGATGGCAAACTGAGGGACAATGATGATTCAAATGCTGTATCATCTGAACAAAATCAGAAGATCATTATAGTAGCAAATTTTCTTCCTCTTAAAGCTCAAAAGGATGAAATATCTAGCAAATGGTGCTTCACTTATGATGAAGATTCAATCTTGTTGCCATTAAAGGATGGCCTCTCGTCTAACACTGAGGTTTTTTATGTGGGATCTCTGAAGGTTCATGTTGATGCTAGTGAACAAGAGAATGTTTCTCTTCAGCTACAGGCGAAATTCAACTGCCTGCCTACCTTTATTCCTTCAGACATCCAGAAACAATTTTATGATGGATTTTGCAAGCAACATTTGTGGCCTCTATTCCATTACATGTTGCCCTTCAATCCAGACTGCTACAATCGCTTTGACAAGTCACTGTGGCAAGCTTATGTTTCTGCTAACAAAATATTTGCTGATAAAGTCATGGAGGTTATTAATCCAGAGCTTGATTATATATGGGTTCACGATTATCATCTCATGATTATTGCGACATTTCTACGGAAGCGATACAATTGGATCAAGCTAGGATTTTTTCTCCACTGTCCATTTCCTTCATCTGAAATTTACCGTGCTTTACCTGTCAGAGATGAAATTTTGAAAGCACTGCTTAATGCAGATTTAATTGGTTTTCATACATTTGATTATGCTCGGCATTTTCTTTCTTGCTGCAGCCGAATTCTTGGCTTAAAATATGAATCCAGAAGGGGATACATCAAGCTTGAATACTTTGGCCGCGCAGTATTCATCAAAATCTTGCCTGTGGGGATTCATTTGTGTCGACTTCAATCTGCCTTGAATCACCCTTCTTTTACGTTCCGTGTAAGAGAAGTGTGGGAGAAGTTCAAGGGGCAAAAACTTATTCTTGGAGTTGATGATATGGACATTTTTAAAGGTATCAGCCTAAAGTTATTGGCCATTGAACAACTCTTTCAGCAATATCCTGAATTTCTAGGTGAATTAATACTTGTCCAGATTGTTAATCCACCAAGGAGTACTGGTAAGGCTGTATATGAGGCAAGGAATGAGATGCACATTATTGCCAACAGGATAAATGATAGGTTTGGCTTTGTTGATTATGAACCTATCATCATCATGGATCGTCATGTTCCATTATACGAGAAGGCATCCTACTATGCTTTAGCAGAATGTTGTATTGTGAATGCGGTGCGAGATGGTTTGAATGTGGTTCCTTACGAGTACATTGTCTGCAGGCAGGGGGCTCCTAAAATGGGTGAAGCTTTAGACCTTGCTCCCCCTCCAACAAGTGCGCTTGTTGTTTCTGAGTTTATAGGTTGCTCACCTTCTCTAAGTGGGGCAATCAGGGTAAACCCATGGGATGTTAATGCTGTTGCTGATGCACTAAATTTGGCCATCAGAATGCCCTGTGGAGAGAAACAGTTGCGGCATGAGAAGAACTACCGATACGTTAGCTCTCATGATGTAGCATACTGGGCCAAAAGTTTTGTGCAAGATCTTGAGTATTCGTGCAAGGATCACCACAGTAAAAATTGCTGGGGGATTGGCTTTGGCCTTAATTTCAGAGTTTTGTCCCTTTCTCCTTCTTTCAGGAAGCTTAACAAAGGCCATGCTGTTTCTTCATATGAAAGGGCTAATTGCAGGGCATTATTTTTGGATTATGACGGCACGGTTGTCCCATCCATTGATAATACTCCAAGTCCTGAAATTATAGCTGTTCTAAATAACCTTTGCAGTGACCCTAAGAACACTGTTTTCATAGTAAGTGGTAGGGGGAAAACCACACTGAGTGAATGGTTTGATGAGTGTCAGAATCTCTGTATAGCAGCTGAGCATGGTTATTTTCTAAAGTGAGTGTTTTCACTCCTCAATTTAATAGTCGGTCTTGTGCAATTCTGCTGATATTTACAATGGAAATCCTCTATTTAATTTCTATCAAGAAAGATAAGGAAGGGGACTAAAGGAGGGAGAATGAATAGATAGTGGTTTTTCATACATTCATGATGCATATATTTGCTTCTTATCTAGTGATTTTTTTTCCCATTTTAGCAAGTTCTCTAAACTGACATGCTTTTCTGGTCTTTTTGTCACAGATGGAATCAACAGTCAAATTGGGAAATGAATAATACTAGTATAATTTCTTCTTGGAAAGAGATTGTTGAGCCTGTGATGAGAATGTATACTCAGGCAACAGATGGCTCCTATATAGAGACCAAAGAGAGTGGCTTGGTATGGCACTACTATGATGCTGATCCGGATTTTGGAATTTGGCAAGCCAAGCAGCTGTTGGATCACCTGGAATGTTTATTTGCAAACGAACCAATAACTGTAAACAAAGGAAAGCATATTATTGAAGTCAAGTCACAGGTATATTGTAATTATCTCTTCAGTTATTAACAGATGACTATTCTCATGTTTTTAATAATGGCTATTCAACATTACAGGGAATTACTAAAGGGTTAGTTGTAGAGAAAATTCTGTCCAGGATGACCATGGAAGGGAAATCGCCAGATTTTGTACTGTGCATAGGGGATGATAGATCTGATGAGGATATGTTTGAGAGCTTGCTGAGTAAAGGTTACAGTCGAACCTCTTCTGCACCAGAAATCTTTGCATGCACTGTGGGTCAAAAACAAAGTAAAGCTAGGTACTTTTTAGATGATACTGAGGATGTAATGAGGCTACTTCGAGCTCTTGGTAACGTTTCAATGTCTAACTCAGCATGGCCCGAAGAAGACTGTTGGGGAAGAACAGAATCATCCTGTCTATTTTCATAGTTGTTATTTTTATAAAGCAGTCATGCTTCACAGTAGTTTACTATCTGATTTTCAAGGTATGATCAAAGGACATTGTTAGAGTTGTTAGACTGTTAAGAGGTCTTTTTTGCTTTTGATTGCTAGGTTGTAGCAAATGGATGTATATGCTGTCTTTTAGCCATACCTTTGATCTTAGCTTCTGAATGTAGAGATGAGAATACATTGTTTGTTTGTGCAGCTTAGCTGGTTACAATTTCCCATTGCAAGGCATTTACAATTCAAAATTATTTGTACCATTTTTATCAGCATAATTATTTTTCTATAACAAATCTAGTTGTGATAGATTTTCTCCTTTCTTTTCCTTTATGTTATATGGAGTTATATATATATCATGCTCGTACTCCTTTTTATGATGTGAAATTTTAATAAAAATAGATGAATTTCATCGCATGTATATGAACAATAAGATGGTATCAGATGTTATTTTTTTATTTCTTCATTCGTTCCTACGGCGTTCGAACCCTATATTGACTTTCACACTAATCCCTCGAATCATTTTTTTCTTCTTTCCAATGAAAATCCTACTCTTGTTTTTTGTCTCCACCTTGTTGTATGGCAAGAGTTATCACGTCTGAGCCTACGTCATGAAACTTGTGCTCAAATCCAAGAATTAGCTGAAATTCGTCGATGACACTCTCTCCGAACCATCATCAACCAACCCTCTTCACGAACCTTAGGATCGTTGCAATAGAATGGTTGTTTCTTATATTCAACGATTGGTGCATGAAACCATTGTTAAATTCATTCTCTGGATCAAACATGCTTCCGACGTTTAGCAAAATTGGTATCATCACTTTCATCTAGGAGATATTTTTCTTTTATAGATTTGTAGGAAGATTTATATAAATTACACCAAGGAGGACGAGGCAAAGGTTATTACTTTCCAAGGAACCATGGCAAAAATAATGGAGAGAGAAATTTCCATGGATATCAAAACAAGTTTGCTCGCTTGGCCAATAATGCCGCCTCTGATACTTTTTCATCTGACCTTATTACTACTAATGTCTCTAACCTTCATGAGATCTCATGGTCAGTGCCTAAATTTAATGAAGAGCAGTATCATGACATTCTAACTCTTTTGCAACAATCCAAATCTCTTGCACATACAACAAATTCGGTGTTCACTTCTTTGGTTAATTCTTTTTCCCCTCTTCCTAATACTCCTTATGTTTCCACGTAAAACATCTCCTCAGTGGCTTCTGGATATAGGTGTCACTGATTATATTAATTTTGATTTTCACAGTTTTGTCACTCATAAATTTATTCCACCTATTTTCATTACTTTGTCAAATGTTGTCCAAGTTTCCACTTCTATACCTGATACTGTTATGTTGTCAGATACCTTAATTCTTCATGATGTTTTTTTTCATTCCCAATTTTCATGTAAATCTGGTTTTTGTTCAAAAATTGATCCAAATCTTGCACTGTCATCCACTTTTTTAATCTAATTCTTGTGTTATTTTGCAGCAAACCTCCCAGAGGATGATTGGTTCAGCTAGCTTGCACAAAGGATTGTATGTGGTAAATCTGTCTCACTCTTATTACAACCATAGTCTTGTTTCTGCTCATATCACTACTACCAAATCCAAAGATGCTTCTCTTTGGCATCATAGATTAGGTCATGTCTTTGACTCTATTTTTCGTATTATTTTCCAACAATATCTTTTTATCTCTTACTCTGTAAATTTCTCTCCTTGTGACATTTGTTATTTTGTTAAACAACACAAATTGTCTCATCATAGTAGTGAAATACGATCACTAATTTGATATTATTCATGGAGACATATGGGGATCATATTCTATACCTTCTAATTGCAGTTACAAATATTTTTTCATTTTAGTTGATGATTACTCACATTTTACCTAGGTTAAATTTATGAAATTCAAATCTTAAACCCACACTCATTTAATGCATTTCATTTCATTGATTGAAACTCAATTTCATACTAAACTCAAATGTTTTCGAAGTGACAATGGAGTAAAATTTTTATCAACTGATTTCTTTTCTCCAAAGGTATTCTTCATCAAAGAATTTGTGTTGAAACGCCTCAACTAAACGGTATTATTGAATGCAAACATCAACATCTTTTAAATGTAGCTCGAGCCTTGTTTTACCAAACTCAACTACCTAACATTTTGTTGTCTTATGCTATTTAACAAAATGTTCATATCATTAATAGACTGCGTACTTCGTTATTATATTTTAAATGTCTTTATGCAATTTTATATGATAAACCACCTAGTATGATCCATTTAAAGGTTTTTTGTTGTCTTGTTTATGTTACTACCCTTAGAAATCACAGAACTAAATTTCAATCCCGCGTCAGCAAAACTGTTTTCTTGGGATATAGAGAAGGTACTAAAGGCTATGTTCTATATGATCTCCAAACCCATTAAATTTTTCTTTTAAAAAATGTCATTCTTTATGAAACTGTATTTTGTTTTCATCTTTCCACCACTCCTTTCTCAACTTATTTTCCTCTATTATCCAATATATCCTCTCCTACAAATATTTTATCCTTGCTCGAGCCTATTCATCACTCTCCTGCTGTAGACATCTCATATACTATAAACTCTAACTAGAACCTTAGTTCTCAAGCCCCGCCTTCTCCACATATTAGACACTCCATCCGATCTTGCAGACCACCCTCTTACCTAATAGATTTTTATTGTCATTTAGTGGTTGTTTCTAGTAGTTTCACACATCCTCCTAAGGGTATTTGTTTGCATCTCTTATCCTCAACTCTTGATTATTCTAAATGCAATTCCTTTTATAAAAAAATTTGTTTTGTTGTTACTAACATTTCTTAACCTACTACTTTCTCTCAAGCATCTAAATTGTATTGTTGGCAAAAGGCTATGAATGTTGAATTACAGGTTTTAGAGCAAAATAACAGTTGGTCTATTGTTGATCTCCCACAAGAAAAAAGTCTAATTGGTTGTAAATGGATTTACAAGGTTAAATATCATTCAGATGACACTATTGATAGATACAAAGTCTGCTTAGTGGTTTAGGGCTACACTTAGTTAAAGGGAGTGGATTATTTTGACACATTCTCCCTGGTTGCCAAATCACCATTATCCGTGTTCTTCTAGTCATAGCAGCAGTTAAATGGTGGTTTCTGCATCATCTTGATGTGAATAATGTCTTTTTTCATGGAGAGCTTCATGAGGAAATCTATATGGTCCTCCACTTGGTTTGCTTCTACCTAGTTCTTCTCAAGTTTGCAATTTGTAAGGACTCAAGGTAACCAGCAAGTAATGACACAGTATTCTTTCCATCACTCTTTTATCTCTCAATTACAAACAATCTTCCGCTGATCAATCTTTGTTTGTCAATGTTACTTCTACTTCTTTCACAACTTTATTAGTTTATGTGGATGACATTGTCTTAACTGATGATGATATGGATGAAATTAATTCTGTCAAATGTGTCTTGGATACTAAATTCAAGATTAAAGATCTTGGTGCTTTTCATTATTTTTTTTGGGATTGGAAATTGCACGGTCCAAGTCCGACATTCACATGAACCAACGTAAATACACTCTTGAACTTCTTGATGATAATGATTTACTTTGTTTCAAATCTGCTACCACTCCTTCCGATCCCTCTATTAAACTTGATGCTAATCATGGACAATCTTATTTCGATATTGTTGCTTGTCGCAGATTAGTCACTAAACTGTTATATCTCAGACTTATGCGCCTTAACATTGTCTTTTTTGTCCAGCAGCTTAATTAATTCATGGTTCAGCCTCTTGATGTTCAATCTACTATCTCTCGTTCATCCTCCGAAGTAGACTATCGAGAATTAACAAGTCTTACTTGTGAGATTCAATGGTTTCATTATCTTTTCCGTGATCTTCATGTTTCATTGGATCCTACTGCAGTCTATTGTGACAGTCAGTTATTTACTTAACTCATAATCTTGTGTTTCATAAGCATATTAAACACGTTGAGATCAATTGTCATGTGATTCGTGAGAAAATTCAATAAGACTTAATTCATATTTTTTCTGTTTCGTCTTGAGGATATTTTTACTCACCCTCTTCATTATACAGTTTTTGACAATTCTATATTCAAATTGGATCTTTGTGACATCCACCGTCCAACTTTAGGGGTATTAGCATAATTATTTTTCTATAACAAATCTTGTTTTTTCTCTTTTATACTATGTTTAGTTGTGGGTTTTTTTTCTTTCCTTTCTGTTTTATGGGTTATATATAAACTCTTTCTTATTGTATGAAATTTTAATAAAAATAAATAAATTCCATCACACATGTACGAAGAGTAAGAATTTTCCTTGCAAGTTGCTGTAATGTTTTGTTGGATTTTTTTTGTAATAATACAACATCCATTCACAACGGACAGCCATATAATAAGAATATAGTATAACAGTGACAGTTTTTTTCTTTTGCCAATTATGTGTAAACTAATTATATATATATAGGCATGGCAACGAGGCGGGCGGGCGGGCGGGGCGGGTTTTGCCTCCCGTCCCCGCCCCGACTTTTTAACCATCTCCGTCCCGCCCTCGATCCCATGGGGTTAGGAATTAAGTCCCCATCCCAGTCCCGTCGGGTTTCGGGTTCCCCAGCCCTGTCCCCAATTTATATTATTTTTAAAAAGATAATTATATTTATAATAAATTAATTTTACTATGTATTTTTATATATAAATAAATATTTATAATTTATAGTTATTATTAATTAAATATACATTTTAATTTATTATATTTATATTAAAATATATATGTAAAAGAAATATTTAATTATTTTTTATTTATATATATATATAATATTTATAACATTATTATTATTATTATTATTATTATTATTATTATAACACTGTATTCAAATATTTGAATATTTATAACATTATTATTATAATACTGTATTCAAATATTTAATTATACATATAAGTTAATTCATTTTTAAGTTGTCAATATATAGTTTATAAGAAAATATTTAATAAGTTAATTCTTATTTAATTAGTTTGAAGTAATAAAAGTTTAAATTATTAATTTCTTTTAATCCTTTAAAATGCAATTATTTTATTAAGATAAAATTTGATATATGATAAATAAGCATAATAAGATAAAAAAATATGGCATAATAAATATAAATTATAAATAAACTAATATTAGTTACTACTAAGATTGATGTAAAATATTTAGAAAAAGATAAAAAAAATATTAACTTTGTGTTCATCAAATTGGTTGAAAAGATTGAAAAAAAAAACAAATTGATGGGAGAGACTAAGAAAATGTGAAAAGCTGAAAGATAAGGGAGAGAATAATATAATAAATTAATTGATATAAAAGATTGAGAAAGATAAAAAAAATTAAAAAGTGGGTAGAAGAAAAATAAAAATTGGTGAAATATAAAAAAATAACCTTATATGTAATAGAAAAAGAAAATGAAATACTTTTAAAATATTAATATTTTAAAATTTAAATTTAAATATAAAGTCGGGGCGGGGACGGGGGTGGGGTCGGGGTGGAGATTGCATTACCCATCCCGCCTCGCCCGACTTTTAAAGCGGGAAAACCGAACCCGACCCGCCCGGTCAACTCGGGGTTTCCCGTCAAACTCGGGCGGGGACGGGTCGGTCCCACGAGTACGGGTTTAATTGCATCTATATATATATATATATATATATATATATATATATATATATATATATATATATATATATATATATTAACATATCAATACAATGTTTTTTGTATTTTAAACTTATTAGAAATTTTATAAATGATATATTTACTTATTTTCCTTACTAATATTCGCAACATTAACAAAAAAAATTACAACTGAAATATAAAACAACTAGATTTTGTAAATATAATAAATAGACAATTCCAATTAATAATATAATAATACAATATTATTATATTATTAAATGGAGATGTTTAATGTTTGTTATTTATATATAATTATTCTTAAAATAAAGGTTTTGTAATTAAATTATATATAAGTATATATATTTTGTGATTTTTACAATCTATTAAATCTTTTTTTTTACATAGTTTCATTATTTCTTTTTTTTTCATCTTCTTATTATTATGTTCCTATTTCATTCTTCTATTTTGCAAAAATGACATTAAATCTCTAACTTTTTTTATCTCTTTATTATGCCGGTAAGAGAATTTGAAAAAAAAAATGAACGAGTATTTTGTTGAAAACGATATGCTATTTGAATAAATAAAATATTTTTACATATTTAATTATTGAATAAAAAGAATGTAAAATAAGGTTTAAATCTTTATTAATTATTGTTAATATTTATATCAATTCTAAATTAGAAGAATGGTTGAGAATGAAAATTATACATTTCACTTTTTTTAAAATAGTCATTGTGTGACATTAAAAAAAATGACTTTACAACTTGATTTCTTCTCGTTGATGGAAAATACGGTGTCAAAAGTGGCGATTTAATAATTGTTTACAAATTTTATTATATTTGTATTCACCTGCATGCATGAATGACTAAATGAAATTTACCAAACTTTTCTTACTTTAATATTATTTTTCAATAATTTTTTTTATTATGCAAACAAGAATACTATAGTTCAACACCTAGGAGGTACACTATTATGACAATTATAATGGTTTGGTTTAAAAATATTTGAATATTTAATTAAACATCATTATTGAATTGTTATTGACCAATTTTATGGACACAAATGTTTTCACAATTGAAATAAAAAAGAGAAAAATAATAAAAATGAAGATGATAGTTATAGAATGAGAAGTGATTTAACCGATCATAAATATATTACACCAACAAGACATAGATTTACTAAGAAACATACAAAAATACTCATGTGATAAATAATAATGGTTATAATATGAAAATTGACATTTAACAATTATACATCATCAAGAACAAATCATAAGAAATACTTTGATGATAAATAAATAGATTATCAAGAAGAAACTCCCACAAATAAATTATTTTAATTAAATATTTCATTTATATATATTAATTTGAATTTATAATTTAGTTTATTGACCATTATTCTTAGTTCATTTTTTTCATCCTTCAATTTAATTTAAACAAAATAAACTTTAATTATAATTCCTACCGTATCAAAATTTAAATAACAACCAAAGCACAAATTTAGCATTTTTTTAACTTAAAATAGGAAACACTAGAATGTAAGATCATGTTAGGAAGCATGAATTCTAACTAGATAAAAAATATATATAAATTCATACAGCATACAAAAATTATGTTATATAACAAGATTTTCAATAAAAATTAAAGAAAACAAATTGAAATTGTGGTTAATATACAGTTTTTTTAATGAATTGATATTTTCAAGAATAACTTATTGAATTTACATATATATATATATATATATATATATATATATATATTATCTATTTTAATAATTTCTAGCATAAATGAAACCTGTTTGATGTTTTTGCTGTATATAAGCTCCATCCCAAAATATCATTATAAAATTGTTTGAAGACTTTACACAGCAGAATGAAAGTTCTTGCTAGCTAAGTTATGCAACAGTTGTGATTGACAAAAGGACAAAAGACCTCAACACTGAACTCAACCGTGAGAGCTATAGCAAAAGCAAGCAACCATCTTCACCGTAGTTTCATTCCAAAATGCGATCCTCAACCATTCGCTGCTTCACCATCTTCACCCTGTTACTCATCGCCATCCTCCCACATGTTCGACTTCACCCTTCTCTATCCTTTCCTTTATTATCTCACAACATAATTTACACTTCTCCTTTTGCAGGGACACGCAACAACCTATAAACTTCTCTCTTCTCCTTTTTCAACCGCTCTCGAAACCCTCCAAAAACAACTCGGGTAAACCCTTTCCCTTTTCTCTTACTTTTTTTTTATAATTATTATTATTGCTAAAGCTGTTGTTGTATATGGCAGGTACAACTTCAAGAGCATTGATCTTCTCCGTCGCGCCATGACCCACGCCTCTTTCTCCGAAGAAAACAACAAAGCTTTCGCCATTCTGGGCGCCACTGTCATCGAAACCTCCGTCTCTTTCCATTTGCTCTCCAAAGACATTGATATTTCTCCCAAAGAGCTGAACCGTCGATTATCCCAAATCACCAACGTCGACTCTTCCTGCGCCGTTGACGGAACCCGATTAGGGTTGCACAAGATCGTTCGCGTCTCGCCCAAGACCAATTCGTCCACCCCTGCCGTCGTTTGCGGCGCGTTCCGAGCAATATTCGGTGCCATTTCTATTGACACCGGCAAATCCGATGATGCAGGTAATATTTTCTGGAACCTTCATGGCGGTGACCTAGGAGCTGCTGTCGCCCTTTGAACTGTGTGTTCAGTTTTCAAATTTTCTTCTGTTTGTGTTTGTTGCTTAAGATACTTCTTAGTGACTTGTGTGTTGGTTGGTTGTAGCTGATTTTTAAGTGAATCTAGTTACTGTTATTAGTGCTGGACCATTAATTGTGTTGTGAAGCAGCAATGATAATCTAGTGTGATGCTATAACTACTTGTTTGTTAATTGAATGAGTTATGAAGCTAGCTATGTAGCTTCTTTTTCTTTTTGCTGTAGATATATGAACTTGTAAAACTTCTGCTGGCATTGTGAAAACTTAATGCTTGACTTGCTAAAGACACAGAGGATAGTTAATCGGTCCTCTCGAGTATGCTGGAATAAGATTTGATGGCTACTGTCCTTTGTTCTTTTCAGCAATAATATTTTTTAAGGATGAACACTAGAATTGGTCCTCTTAAAATATGTGGGTTTTTAAGTTGTCCTCTCGAGTGTCAAGATTTTGGACATTTCCTCGAAATACCCTTGGAGTTGGATATCTATTTGGTCTTTTAGTTGATTTTATTTTTTTTATTTACACTACTAAAGATAAAATGCTGTTCTAAATCTTTGCAGGACCTACTTTGATGTAACGTTACAGATTTAAGTATTTTCTCATATTTTAACCAGGTTGTTGTCTCTTTTTCTAATCTTTGCACTGGTCTCTTTTGGGTAAATCTTCCTTAGTTTTACATGAGGTACATTCTCATGAAGCTGGGAGGAATAACGGGTGAAAATTATCACTTAAAGCTGATACTTGTTTCATTTCACCATTCTTAAACTGGTTTTCTGGGACTAGAACCATTGTTTTTACTTAGCCTTTTATCTTTAGATGGAAACTTCTAAGGGGTGTGTTTAGGTAAATAACATAATTAAGTGATTATCCAAAAAAGATTAAGTCACAAGCGTTGAATACAATAAGCTGAATTTGTTAAGTTTCTCTGTGAAGCTCACTGAAATAAACTAATAGAAGCTATGTTCACGAAGCAAACCAAACACTCAATTTTCATCTTAAGCCCTCTTAAAACCTCCTAAATGTGGATAAGGGAAGTAAGAGCGAGTGATCCTCGTGGCTTTTGGAATAACGTGGATTATCAAATACCAATATAACATTCTATGATGACAGAGTCTTCAGATATTAGGGTGTTAATACGAGTATCAAGGACTAAACTGCCTCACAAGTTTGAGTTGGGATTGAATAGAAAAAATTGAGAGTTTCAAGACTAAACTCGTACACGAGTTTGAATTGGATTGAGTTGAAAAAATTTTAAAATAGGCAAAATGAATTTGGTTAACTTAATCTATGTGATAAAGGAGATTGAGTTGGACCGGAGTTAATTCTGATTTTTTTTTTTTAATAATCTAATTTATCTTACTTGATTACGAATGGGTGAAGAAAAAGATGTGTGGATGAGTTAATTAATCTAAAATAAAATAAAAATTAAGGAACAGGACATATCTCTGACCTATGTGACCCGTTAGTTTATGATGAATTGAGTGTCATGAAAGAAATAAATTGTTTTTTATAAATTATTTTAAAATATAATAAGATTAATAATAATATTATTATATCTAAATATTAAAAAGCAAATTATAATGACAATAATTTACATCTGATATATATGAATGAAGTAATTTTAATTTTTTATTAACACTATTTCTAAAATGATTGTATTATTATATTGGTATGTTTTCAAAATAAGTAATTATTTTAAAAATTATTTATCATGGAAATACTTATTTGAAATTTAAATAAACTGTTCTAATGATAGAAAAGTATAATGTGAGATAAGGTGCACGATAATATAAAATCTGAAAAAGTAGGGGTGGCCATGAATCCCATCCAAATCTAAATATCTTTAAAAGTAGGGGTGGGCATGAATCTCATTCAAATCTAAAAATTATATTTAAAAAAAAGTGTGGATTGTAATCTAAATCCAATTTGGATTGCTTGTATACATTACTTAGATTCTAAACTGAGTAGTTATTACCAAATAGCATCAGATGCATCATTATTTTCACTAAAATTCAATTATTATTTACTGAGACTCATTAAATTTATTCAATAATAATTAGTGTGTATGATAAAACGAATCAAAAACAAGCTGAACATTTATATTCATTGCCATTAAACAGATCATAAATATATACATGACAGATATAGCAAGAAATCGCAAATCTATAAACATCACCTCATTAGTTTTACATTCTATGAAAAACTTTCATCAATTTATAAGTAGTATTGTTATTTATGCATGTTAATCATAAGTTTTAGGAGAATATCATATTAATTGTATTTTTAAAATGATTAAATAATAATATAATTTATTATTTACTAAACAAAAGTAGTCAAGCATAAGTTTTTTAATATATATATATATATATATATATATATATATATATATATATATATATATATATATATATATAGGTTTTTCATGTTTTGTTACGACAACAAGTATATATTCAGATATCTAATTTTGCTTTTTACTGTTTGCATATTAACATATCTAGATCCATGTAATTGAGGTAAGAAGTATGTTAAAATTCACAAATCTAAGAAACAAAAAGATAAAATACGAAAATAAGAAGAAATGAAAGAAATCAAGAGACAAATAGTCAGTGAATTTCACACCAAATTCATAAATAAATAAAATTTAGTTTTCAAATAACTTATAATTAAATAAATATTAAAGGATTGTTAATAAGTTTTTGTAAATATAATTATTTATAGAAACAATAGATTATATAAAATATTATTGAATATTCAATTTTTTAACAAGAAGAAAAATAAAATTATCTGTGTAATATATATTATGAAAGAGAATAAAATATTTTAAAAAAATAGATATAATCATTTTAATAATAAAAAATAATAGTAAAATAATTTATAAAAAAATAAGGAACACATAGTACTTAAATGTTATTATAATTCTAAAAAATAAATAAGTATTTTATATTTTATATGTACTTAATGAATTAAGTCAACATTGCTTCCTTTGAGAAATGGGTGACCTATTTGACCATCTCTTTGTTGCACATAAAATCCTGTCAAATAGTTTAAGATTTTCATTATCTTTAAGTTTGACTTACAGGAAGGGTTAATTTTTGTTGAGCCTTGCATTGCATGCATCATGAAATGTAGTTTGACGTTGTGAGGTGGGTTGAAATTGTGATCTTGAAGGGAAAGTGCAGATGGATATACATATTGCTTTTAAGATCTCAGTGTTTGAGTCCAAGCAGTCAGCCCAATGGGAAATTGCGTTTAACGTCTTCGTCTTCTTTTTCTGTGGGCGCCTCCTTCTTAAAATTATTTTAAAAACTTTTTTTTTTAATTTTACAATAAGTAGAAAAATAGACAAAGTGTGACAGGTAGATTAAAAAAATGGAGGAATGAAATTGTGAAAAAAGTGATGTTAGAATATTATTATTGTACCAAAACTGGGTATAGAGATAATATTAATAATAATATTAACAATAATAAAGGATAATAAAAAAAACAAAGGGGGTGAGTGGATGGTGAGTAGTGAGGGTGAAGAGACAGAGAACTAAGTTTTGGAATTAAATAGAGCGTGGGAGGGTGGCAACGTGTGATAGCTATTTAAATCTGAAGAACCCTCTCCTCTTGTGTTTCTTCTGAATAACCAAAATCTGATCTCAGTGCCTGACATGTCCGTCGATTTTGAATCTGAATCCATTCCCACCCCCACGGCCCAAGCCCAAGAGAGATCCAGCACTCGCTGCGCCTTGCTATTCCCCTCGTGCTGCCTCGGCCAGCGACGTCGTTCCTCATGGTGGGAGCGCGTCCGCTCCACCTCCTGGTCCCACTCCAATTCAGCTTCATCCGGTGGTGACCGGTGGTGGTCACGTGGCCTCAGGGCGCTCAAGAAGCTTCGCGAGTGGTCCGAGATCGTGGCCGGTCCCAGGTGGAAGACCTTCATTCGCAAGTTCAACCGTAACCGCGCCTCCAAGCGCATGCCCAAGTACCAGTATGACCCAATGAGTTACGCCCTCAACTTCGACGAGGGTCACAACGGGGATTTCAACGACGACGCTGCCCTCCGCAATTTCTCCACGCGCTACGCTGCCGTCAACGCCAAATCGCTTTCCCCCAGAGCCCGTGACACCCAGGACGCCGTTTTGGTATGAGTGCTGAAGTGGGCACGCCACTACGCGTTAAACACGCGGTCGGTGTTTGTTTGGTGGCTGAGGCTGCCCCTTCGCCCCACTTTTCCGTTTTCATTTCATATCCGCAATTATTTAGTTTTATTTCTTTTCCTTATAGTTTATACATCCATATGAATTCCAATGGTTGTTATTGTGTATATTCACCCTCTTTTTTTTTTATTTTTTTTACTATTCTTGTACCATAACATATTCATTTTTATTTTTTTTATGGTTGGAGGTTGGGTTGAGTGGGTGAAGGGTTGAGGAATAAAGAAGGCTTAGCTTTCTCTCTTCCATTTGAATTGATAATAGCATTAGGTAGTAATTATGTGATTATGATTATAATTATAAGTATAATGTGGTATGGATGGGCCTGAAGTGGGGGTTTGCTTTTGGAATTGGCAATTGCAATCAATAAATGAGGCTTAGGTAGAAATTGGGTTATTGTCTGTTGGGAGTGTGGTCTTGTTCAACCTTAGAAATTGTCATTTTCATGAGATGAATAATAGTGAAAGAAGACGTAGGGAGGGAGATGAATAATAGTGAAAGAGCTTGACAGCTTGTTGAAGCAATATGCGCCACAACTGTGCGGTGTACAAGTTACCCATTTAGACAAACAGGAGCAAGTGGTGTTTTCCTTCCGGGATAGATACTTTCTTATAGCCACACTCTGTAAAGATATTATTCAATCAATAAATAGATTAAGACATTTCTTTTAATTTCTCACCAATTTTTTCATTTTTACATAATCAACTATCACCACATTATTTTTTTTTCTTCAATACTGAAATAAAGAGTCTGCCTTTGGATAGGTATTGAAGAAAAACATATTCAATATATTCATATGTATTTAAATATTTTTACGTGAATAGCAATATCAACCCCTACCCAGCTACTTGGATCTTTTATCCAGTTTTGGTTAATTTGATTTCAATCTCGATGATGATGACGACGATGGAGTAGGATATTCAAATGGTTGTTCCCATATTTGCGTTAAGAAAATTCCTCTATCTTATTCTTCATATAACACACTTTTTACATAATACCATATTGTTTCTGGTGGAATTTCGATCGATTTCGACTCTTAAGATATTTTGACCCTAATCAAAATTCTACCACGTAAGTTCTTTTTGCTTAGGCTAACAAATTAATTTTCAATCAAAATATGTATGAAGATCGAATTTTATCCGATTTCAAATGTACTATTTTTGGTGTTTTGTATTAAGAATACTCGAAGTAAAGAAAACAGGAAATATATGGAATCGAAAGACAGTGCTGAAACTTAGACTGCAAAGAAACGTAAACTACGAAAATCTTAAATTTGCTTTAAGTGTAAAAGACAGGGAATCGAAACAGCAACAATGTAAATACCGAGAAATCGAATTTGCAGGAAATGTAAAGGACAGTAAATCAAAGGTGCGATAAATGACTGGGAATAAAAAATTGCAAAAATGACCAAGGGATTTAAATACGGAAACTTAACTTGCATTAAATCGAAATGACGAAGAATCGAAAATACAGAAACATAAAATTGCTGAATATAAATTGCATCAAAATAAATTACCAAGGAAAATAAAGAAAGCGATAAAGGTACTCCGTGAGCATAGAAATCCAGATTGCCAGAAGCTTCATGGTGTTCGTCGTTTCTCCGGTAGACTTTTTCACTACTAATCCTGTTCTCTGCCAATTTCCGCCCCCCTATTCCTTCCTCCTCTGCTCTATTTATAGGGCATCATTCAAGCCTTCTAGGAGCAGTTAACAAAACTGCTACTACGTTCTTCGTGCGCGTTGCAGTTTCTTCTTCTGTGGTGTCAAAACTGCACCCACGTTCCCATGATCTTCAACCTTTGCCACGATTTAGAAACTGTTTCCTATGTGCGTGTTTAACTCCTTCTCTTTATGATCTGGCTACGATTTTGATATTTATGCGGGTTAACCTTTCTTTCGATTTAGACTTCGATTTTATCGAGAACTTTGGATTATTTTTTATTCCTTTTAACCTTAGCATCATATACTTCTAATTTCTTGGTTTGTTCCACAATAAACTTTTGACTATTATTTCTCCGATTCCGACTCTAACTTTCGATTTTATGTGCCATGCCCTTCTAATTGGACATCGAATGGTTTCTCATCCACCTTTTCGCTTTACCGATCAATCACATGTTTCTCGATTTTTCTTTCCTTCATTTTTCGATCGCTTTTCTCGATTTCCTACTAACAAAATGCCCCCTTGGAAGAATATAAATAGTTTCTGTTTATATTCTTTCAACATGATTCCCGCCTTTGCTTGTTGGAGGCCCACAAAACTTAGGGTTTAGGGTTTTTGGGGTTCTAGGGTTTACAGGTTTTTCCAGTTTCCTTTTGCTTTATGTCGCCATCGCGTCAGTCTGCTGTCTTACTGTACACGCTACATTAATTACCTTTCACCTCCGTCGTTTCCAGCCCCCTAGGCTATTTTCCCTTTAAACTCTCTATTGGTTTTTTACTCTGGTTTTTTACGCGAACCTTTATCCCTTTGCAACTTCATCTTCTTCCTTGAGCTTTCCTCTAATCTACCAATTACTGAAATGGCAACTTCTTCCAAGTCTTCTGACTTTTCCGCTCCACCCCTTCCTTCATTGGCATCGAACCTGCTGGAGATCAACAATCAGAAGTTCGCTCCAGTCCCTCTGATGGAGGAAGCTTCTCGGAAAATTGCTGAGACGCAGGTACTTATTCCTTACACTGCTGATGGTGTTAATTACGCTTTTGGGGGTCCTCTTCGTCCTATTGATGGAACCTTTTCTCCCCTCAACCTCTCGAATAGTTCGGCTCTTGTACACCAACCTGAAGTTAGGATTGATTTCTTGAACCTTGTCTCTAAGGTGTATCGGACAGACCCTCCTTCCAAAAAACCTTTGTACATTAGATGGTTTGATAGGGTTAAAGCTAAATTCGGAGATCATTGGAGAAGCGTGGGAATTTTTGATTTTTTGCACCTGTCCCGATGTGACTTATCTCATTTGGACATGGCTATGTTCTTGGCTACCGTTCACTTGTGGAATAAGGAAATACATGCCCTGGAATTACCTTGCGGTCCTCTTTCGCCTACCTTTTTTGAAGTCGCGGCCATTACTGGATTAGAACCTATAGGGGAAGATATTTTAAAGGTGCATGTCCCTCGGATAACTCTCTAAGATCTAAAATCGATTGGGAATCGAAAGCTTATGGGCATTTCCTTGAGAAACATTTCGTCGATGATGAATCGATAACTGTAACTGATGAAGAGCATATCGCCTTTTTGGTGTATTGGTTGTGTACCCACGTTTTTTGCCCTCGATCGATCCAAATCTCCTCCCATTTGTTTGACCTTGCATATCTTCTTCACCTAGGCCAACCTAGAATATGTTTGGCCAAATTTTTACTAGCACATGTATATACTGCTTTCGACGAGGCCGTCGAAATTTTGAGTACTCCTAAAGCTTCTGGAAATTTCTCTGGCCCTATTTGGTTTATACAGTTGTGGCTAAATTCGATTTTTGAGAGCATCCTTCCCCCAACTTCTACCGTCCCCCCAAGTGTAAATATAGAAGGGGCCCGATTGTCTTCTCGCCATCCTCACCAAAAGTCCGATGAAGCTGCTTATTGTAGATACCTCAACTTTTTGTTAACTAAAGTTAATTTCGATTCGACTTTGACTCCTTTTACCGTACATCTGGGACGAATAAGTGACCAACTCAGGGGGCCAATTTGGTTTAAGTCGAAATTCCCTGCTTCAACTCCTGGGTTGCAATTAGAGTTGATAGATGTATGGAATAACTATTTAACTCATGATATACTAGTATCGGGTTTCCAATCCAAAGATTTCAAGTTCATTACTTACTACCCTCAACTTTTCTCGAGGCAATTTGGTCTGAGTCAGTCCTTACCCTTCTTCCCCTTAGATATTTCCCCAAGGTCCAAGTTAACTGAATCGACAATCGGACGGGAACTTGTCAAGTTTTTGCCAAAAACTCCGATGCATTTTTACCCCTATGTTTTTGAATCAAATTATTTATCGACTGTGGGTTTTTCTCAATGGTGGGCTATTTGGTTCTCGAGTAATCATGCTGCTTTTGACGAGGTCCGACATAAATTGACTGTTCATCCTTCTTTTGTGTTGCAGGACAAATCGAAATCGAAGAAAGGTATACACTTCCACTATCTCAAAATATCTCGATTCAAGAATTTTTATCAAATATGTTATAACCCACTGAAATTAGAATCGACCTTTTACGATGCTGTTATCTCCTTATCCTATAAAACAGACACTAATCGATCGAACCACAAAATAGTCAATCCCTTAGGAAAAACTCCTTTTGAAATGTATTGTCCCGATCGCCTTCCTACTTTCCCTACAACACCCTTTGGGGTTGCCAAACCTTTAACTCATCCCAAATGGGTTCGAGAATTAAGAACCTCGAAAGAAACACTCCGTCCTAAACCAAAAAACAAAGATATTTCTGTATCGAAATTATCTTACTTCCCTTACTTACATCTCCCTCAAATTCTCCTACCATCTTGGCTTGTACATATCGATCGAGTCACAATTTTGACTCCATCACCTTTTGGTGAGATTTTACTGTCTCTTTAGATATTTTTTAATTCTTGATATTATAAGCTAATTGTCTTCTTTGTTTCGACAGTTTCAAAGTCCTCTAAGGTTGTCGTTGCTGAGGCAGGGAAGGAGAAGGACTGGGAGTCCTTTGATGAGTCTGATCCTTCGGCCCTTGTTAGAAAGCGCAAACGCTCGGCCACCATTTCTTCTTCTTCTAAAAAATCGAAGGTTCTTTTCGATTCTCTGTTTATTTTAACCTTTCATTTATAGTCGCTTCATTTGGGTTCTAACATATTTCTGTTGTTTTTCGATTTCTAATTTCAGAAAATATCCCAATAGTTCATGTCCAGGACTCTCCTTCCCCGAATTCCGCAGAGCAAGTGGGCTCCCCTCCTTTCGCTTTGCC